AGGGAGCCCAAGGAAGGAACTCAGGGCAGAAACCTGGAGGCAGGAGCTGGAGCACAGGCCATGGAGGAACTCTGCTTACTGGCTTGCTCCTCTGGCCCCTGCTCAGCCTGCTTTCTTATGCAACACAGGCCCACCTGCCCAGGGGTGGCACCACCCACAATGGGCTGGGCCCTCCCACATCACTCAACAATCAAGCAGGTGCCCCATGGACATGGCTACAGGCCAGACCAAGGAAGGAAGTTCCGCAATTGAGGCTCCCTCAACCCAGGTGTGTCAAGTTGACACTAAAGCTTTCCAGCACACCTCATATTAAGAAAAAAAATAACAATGAATATCTATAAATACTATAGTCAAAATTCTATTGGACGTTTACATCAGCACAAAACACAAGGAAGAAAGTAACAGGTATCTTAATTGGGAAAGAAGAAATGAAATTGTCTTCAACTGCAGATGGCCTGATGTTTTTCATAGCGTGGTGAAATCTGCTGGGGAGAGTACCAGGGGTACTATAAATAGTCAATAACGGTAATCATTGTTGGTGAGGCTGGTTGTGATAAATGTGTATATAGCTACTATGTTTCTGTATGCTGGCAACAAAAATCACCAGAAGGGCAAGTAGTGGGGAACGGCTATGGGGGGCGACAACACAGCAGACAGTAGCAGGGATATCAGAGTATAAGGGCTCTAGTAGGGGGAGGGAGGCTATGGGAGGGTGCCATCTGGGAAGTGGGTGTATAGTTGAATAAGATGGTTTCGGATGTTCTGTGTGATACACACACACACACACACACACACACGCACACAAATCAACAAATTTAAAAAAATGAATATTTGAGAAGGAAGCATAAAAATTTACCTCACATTAATTAGTAGAGGTGATAACATTACCATTGAATCCTACCCGATGACTTAATAGACATACACAAGTGCCAAGGATCCAAGTGCAACCGATTATGACTAGCAATAATCAGATACACACAGATGAGAGATGCATGAGCCAACATCTCAGCATTATTAGCAAAAACAATGAGTCTTTCTGTAAGAAACAATGTCTTACAGGGCTTATACTGAATTCAATATTGTATAACTGTATTAATTCAACAGCAAACTTAAAAATTGTATAGCCACTTTTGAAAGAGATGTATCTTTGCTCTGGAAACTTTTATTGAGTATGTTAAAGCTGTAACGAAATGCTTCTTCTTAAAAAATAAATAAATAAAAAATAAATATATAACCTTGTACAAAAGCAAAATCAGTGTGCAATAATTAGATATCAGTCTGGCAGAAGTTAAGAAATTCCTGTATATGTAAATGTACAAAATATTTTAACAGCATTTTAGTATATCTAAATAAACTTGTCACTTAATGTTGTTAAGGTGTGATTTCTATCTTGTCTGACCTATAGACTAGATTCCATTGTAATGGGAACCCCACAAACTTTTCTATAGAAATTAGCAAGTTAATTAAAAAAAGAAAAAACTTAGATCGGCATTGCATTGAACTGTAGAATCCTTGTGGTAAGATCGTCATTTTCACAATATTAATTCTACCAATCCACGAGCATAGGTGATCTTTCTATCTCCTAGTGTCTTCCTCTACCCCATTTGACCCCTGAAGAACAGATCCTCAAACAACCTTAAGAGTAAAAATAAATTGGTTTATCTGGGGCAACTGTATGGTCTTAAACACCTAAAAGGAAAGTATAAGCAAAGACTAAAGGGGTCAATATAATTTTTTAAGACTCCTTGTGTACAGTTAAAGGCTACATAACAAGAAAAAATGTCAGACAGGAGATACCTTCCTTTGAGTTGTTGGCCAGGGCAGCCCAAGCGACTCCCAGACAGTAACCAAGCATAGAACTGGGAAAATGAACAACAGACTCCATTCTTATCTAAAGGAATATTGACAACTGATTGCTGCTAGATGAGCAACAGGTGATCTTGCTAAAACAAGAAACTCTAGATAGGCTGACTAGATGCAGTAGATGGACAAGCACTGGGAAATGGCTGGGGGCACCAACAACCCAGTGGACAGTAACAGGGATGACAGCGTATATGGGCTCTAGTGGGGGGTGGGGCTTTGGGAGGCTGCCATTTGGAATGTCGGTATACAGATGAATAAGATTCTTTGGGATGTTCTGTATGAAATACGCACAAAAAAATCAACAAATAAAAAAATGAGCCATATTTGAGGAAGAAACATAAAATTTACTTCATGTCAATTAGTAGAGGTGATAAACATTACCATCAAAATCAACCTGATGACTTTATATCCATACTCAGGTGCCAAGGATTCGAGTGTAACTGTGACTAGTAATAATCAGATACATAAGAGATTAGAGATGCATGTGCAAACATCTAAGTGTTAGTAGCATTAAAAATGAGTCTTTCTGTAGGAAACAGTATATTTTAAAAGGAAATGGAGATGTTTTTTAAAGGTCAAAACCTCATTCAATTTTATGTCTTATAGGGTTTATACTATAATACTGAGTTCAGTATTGTAGAATTGTATTAATTCAACTGTGAACCTAAAAACTTCAGCCATTTATTAAAGATAGGTATCTTTCCTCTGGAAATTTTATTGAATATATTAAAGCTGTAATGAAATGCTTCTTCTAATCATGTGGCTATTAAATAATTTTAAAAAATAAGTTCAAAAAATCTAGAGTGTTATATGAAGTAACGCAAACGCAGAAAAGCAAGCAAAGTGTGCCTTCCGTTATTTGTAGATTTTAGCACCAATCATTTATATGTGAATATATATCTTTGAAGGAACTGCAAAAGAGTGTTCCTAGGTTTTTTAAATTATTCTTGGTAAATTTAGCTGAACCTTGAGTGTGTAACTTGGAAATCCTTGTCTCATGAGAAAGTTTATGCAAGAATGCTTGCTGGGGAGTTACCTCAGGAATG